CCAACACCATCCACCTGCAGCCCATTGCAGCCTCCTCCCCTCGGCGCCGCATTGAGAGGGTCCCCGTCCCACCGTGCTGACGGGGCAACGCCTATCTACAAAGGGGGGTGACCCGGGGTTGCCGGGGGGGTCCCCACCCCCGGGGGGCGTCCCCGCCCCACGTTCACATGATGTCGTCCAGGAGGTTGGGGCTGGCCACCCAGTCGAGGGTGCGGGGCTCGGAGGCTGCCATGATCATGCACATGAACTGTTTGCCCGTCCTCTTGTCGATGGGGTAGATGGTGGTGGGGGTGAAGCGCTTGTTGCTCTCCACGAAGTCGCAGAGCTGCTCGTAGACGGCGGGGAACTCGTGCCGCAGGAAGACGCCGCGGATGCGCAGCTCGATGTTGATGAAGCAGACCTCCCGCGCCTTGCGGCCCTCCTCCCCCTCCTTGTCAATGTCCGCTGTGCCGGGCGGCGGCGTCAGGATCAACGTCTCCATGTCCCGCTCCTTCTTCAGGATCTTCTTCTCGGGGCTGGAGGAGGCTAAGGCCACCTTGGCATATTTCCTGACCGTCGGCACCTGCGTCTTTGGCGACGGCCTCTCCGGCACTTTTTGGGTGACAGCCACGGTTACATTCAGGAGGAAACATTCGTCAGGGTCATACTGGTTGCCCGTCTCCCGCAGCTCCCGGGCATACTCCCCGAGGTTGTCCGAGTAGCTCTCCAGCTCCCGCAGGGACAGGTAGGTGGGGGACATCAGCAGGCTCTCCAGCCCAAACTGGAGGAAGTTCTCGGCCGAGCCGGCGTTGGGGAAGCCCAGGAAGAGGACGCCACGGCCGCGGGAGAGGTAGCCCACCTTGGCAATGCGCGAGAAGGCCTTGTGCACCTCAGCGTTCTCCCGGCAGAACTGCAGAACGTGGCGGCAGACGCTGCCCACGCGCCCGTAGACGCAGCTCTCCTTGTGCGTGTCCCAGTCCTCGCGGCGGCAGTGCCGGGAGCAGTAGTAGGTGTAGCAGCTGTGGCACGACTTGAAGTAGAGGCAGGCGTTGAACATGGTCTCCGTCCGCCGGCACTTGGCGTTGGAGCACATCATCATGTCATCCTCCTCCGCGCTCAGGTCGGGCGAGCAGTTCTCCGGCGACTTCTCGAAGGGGCCGACGGACAGCGGGGCGGGCGGGGGGCGCGGGGCGCTGGCACGGGAGCTGGGACCCGGCTGCTCCTTCGTGGGTCGGGGTCCCTCGGGCACGCCGGGGGCGACCCTCCTGCCCCCGCCCCGCCGGGGGGGCCCCGGGGCGCTGCTGCTCAGGAGCTGCTTTAGCTGCTCGGCGAGGCTGTCCCTGTCCCCAGCGTGGTGGCCTGGCGCCGGCTTGTAGTCGATGACGAGGTCAGCGATAAGCCCGGCCAGCTGCCCCAG